TTATATTTTTATAATTTAATATTTAAGTTTAACTTGAGCGAAAAAATATATTACAAGGATAATTTAATTAAATATACATCTAAATAATTTTATATTATTCCAACCAAATAATGTAATTTTATATTTTTATTAAATAAATCAAACTAGATAATACAATATTATTAAAATAAGTATTACATTTTAATAATTTTTTTTTAAAAATAACCTTACGTTCACGTCTTAAAGATGACTAAAAATTATATGGAAACAGAAAGGCTTAAAAAATCAATACGAGTTTTCAACTTTATTTTTCCTTTTAGTGCATACAGCTGACAGATCTCCTCCCATCACTTTTAGATCAAAATGGGTAAAATAACAATTAGGTCATAAAGTTTTTAATTCCTCTCAACTTAGTCCCTATCTTTTTGTCCACATTAATCCCTGTACTTGTCAACTTTTTTTTTAGAAAAAGAAATTCATTTAATTATCTAAACCGATGGAATCAAGTACAATAATTTTTGAAATACATTAATCATCATCAAACCGAATTGGAGAATTACAAGACACTGCCCGTTTAGCCAAGGCATTTGCTGCTCTATTGGCAGACCTTGGAGTGTAGCGAACATTGAAGTTGGCTTCCTCTTTTAAAACAGTGCGTGCATGATGGAGGAGAAAACCAGGGACAGACAAATCCATATTTGGTGATAGGATTTTGTTGACCACCGCGTAGGAATCGCTCTCAAACACAACCAGAGGCTTGCCATTCTCTTCAGCCATTTCAACTCCAGCAATCAGTGCCATCGCCTCCTCGAGCTCAGCGTTGTAAGACCCCGAAAGCCGTCTCGCATGCCCTCCAACCACCAAGCTATTATGATCTCTCGCAATAACACCAAGGGAGGCCGGTCAGTGGAGCGAGCAGCATCGAGAAAATAATCACCAATGAGCTTGTACTTGGCAACTTTATTGGTAGTACTGATAGGGTATCAATCCATACAGAAAAGCATTCATATCAATCTTTATTTTGAGTTTTTAATCTTAATTTGCATTTACTTTTTGACAAATGAATACAACTTAAGTATACAAATATCCATTTCTTTTTAATTTTTGTTTTTGTTTTTATGCTTTTGTTTGATTAGCTTGTTGATCATTGATCGAACTTGATGGGCAACTTTATTACATGTGATACCGAAGAGAACAAATTAATGGTTAAATGTCTGAATAAGGGTCTAATGTTTTAAATGTTACTCACATAAGGGCCTAACATTTCAAATTAAATGAATACGAGATTAACGTCTTTTGAATTTACCTTAGTAATTTTAATTTAGTCTTCAATTTTAATAATGATTTAAGTAATATATTAGTCTGATTGAAAATATAATGATATTACAATTTGAAGTATACGACCTTATTAGTTCGAATAAATTTATTAAAATTAACATATCTCCTACAATGCGAGGAGAGATAAAATCTACGTTAGTATTAATATTAATTTTTTGATGATCAAAGAACAAAATAGGCAAAAACATAATGTTAGTGATGATTTTTTTAAAAAAAGTCAACTACCAAAGTTGAAAAGAAGTAATAAGTTGATGACTAATGCTGTAGTTTACCCTATATATTAATAGGAAAGATATTTTTATCCAATTCTTTATATTTTTGTTTTTGTTCTTTTGCTTTTGTTTGATGTAAATGAAATTGGTGGGCAACTTTATTCAATGTGATACTGAAGTGATAATAAATTAATTATGTAATCAGATAATTAATTACACCACCTATTATTATTTTTTTTTTCGGAGTGTAGTTTTTACTTTTTGACCATAAAATTATAAAAGTTACAGTATTTTTTTACTTTAATGATTCATCGTAGAAAACTTTATAATTGAATTATAATGTAATTATTTAAAAATATAATTATTATCCTAGTAATTACATTTACATATAAGTGAGTATAATTGTAAGGAATTTTGATTTATTATATATATTTGATTCATATTGTAATTATATTATAGTTCTCTATATATCATGTTTAATAGTATAAATTATAACTATATAATTATATAAATATAAATTTTACAGCAGTTCTTTTGCACGAAAAACGATCTCAATAGGTAAGGAATTTGTTGTTGTTCATTGAGGTTCTAGGTTCGAGCATTGCGTATGTAAGAATATATGTTTATTGCCAAAGGGTTGAGAGTATTTGAACATAATTTTTAATTGTAAAGTTGAAGAGTGTCATTACACAAGTCATTATACTAATTCTCACCTGTAAGAATTGAAGAATATAATTGAGAGTCTCCAATTATATTTAACTCAACGAGACTCACAAATTACGATAATTGTTCAAATACATCACAATTGTATAATTACACCTAGGCCTGTAAACTAACTGAATGTTCAGAGATAAGTTTATTTATGTTTGTTTATTTATTAAATGAACGAACATAAACAATATTTTATGTTCCTTTTATTAAATGAAAGAACGCTAACAAAGGGCTCGTTCGTTCATTTACATCTGTGAACGTTCGATAATATGTTCGTTAATTTATGTTAGTTCATTTATATTCAACCAATTTCCAAACATGTTTAAAGTATTAAGACCTAATAACTTTTAACCTAAAATCCATTAATATTTTAAAACCCAATTAATTTTAGACCCAAATAAAAAACCCAAATCAATTAAACAAAATATAAACCCTAAAATTATTTGGGAATAATTTTTTCTCTCAAATACAAACTCAATTAATTTTATGTTCATTTACGTTCGTTCGTTTGTGTTTGTTTATTTTTTAACGAACGAACATGACCAAGCTACATTCCTTAACAAACAAACACGAACAATAAATTTTGTTCGTTTAGTTGTTCGTGTTCGTTCGGCTAAAGTTAAACGAACAAATATAAATATACCCTCGTTCGTATTCGTTCGGTTTATTTACATGCATGAATTTACACTCAAATCTAATTACACGACGACTTTCCAAACCCATCCTAAATTTTATGTTAATGATATTATCATCTAATTCAATGACAAAATATCATTGTCACTATATTAAATATTAACCTTTTATAATCTTTTGTAACAATTGGTTAATTAAATGACCCTTTTATAATCTTTTGAAATTCAATTACCTATGATATATTTTACCCTAGAAAGTAATATTCAATAGCTCTTTTGGTCTTCGTTGACTGAGCTTCCATTCCACAGGCTCTAACACTCGAAACCCATAGTTTCTAAATCCTTTAAGTCCATCTTCATAATGGGCACTAACATATACTCAAAATAACTTATATATGGGTATTGGGTTGAACTATACTTACAAACTTTTATTTTAATTTTAATTATCTAAATATAATTTTATTGGAAGTTTGCCTAAAAGGATTTGAGTATTTAGGTTCGAGCCCATCATGTTTAGGTTCTAAATTTTAACATGAAAGTAATATAATAGTTATGGGAGAAGAATAAACAATTTAGGAAAATAATAAAAACTAAATTGGTTAAATTTTTAAACACAAAGGGTTAAATTTATTGAATTATTATTTTTTGATTTATACGGGATAAGTAAAAGACAATATTTATTCAAAGATAATTCTTAATCATTTAACACTGAATGCTCATACGGTCACACTATCCCTAGGATTCTTAATGTTCAAACCTGAACCCTTAAGGAATAATAAACAATTCATTTACCTTTGAGGTCGCTTGATTTGTGCAATGTATTGAATTTTTTTAATGAATACCAAGTTAATAAATCACATAAACTTTGAGGACTAAAACTATTATTATACTAAATCGTATCACTATTCCATTTAATATTTAACGAAAAGTAACATATTTATAATAATATTTTAATTAATTTTTTCCTATAAAATTAATTTGTTTATAAAACATAATTAATGACATGAAATCTATTTTGCCCTTAGTATATTTTACTATATTAGGGTCAATATATTAAACTTCTCGTCTCTAAACTCATGTAAAAAAGTTGGTTCAATATCGAATTGATCAAATCTTTGATTTATTTTAATGAAATAAATTGTACAATTTGATATTTTAATATTTTGGTGCTTTAAATTAAATTCTGATAAATTTATTATTAATTTGGATTAGTTACAAGGTAATGTATATTTATAATATTTTAATGTATATTTATAATATTTCTTGATCATTGATAATATATACATACACATAACTGTTCGAATTTAATTTTTTTTAAAAATTAATATTCCCTTTATTTATTAAATCTGCTCAATAAATTTACTCAAATTTTACAAATTGAAACACCCTAAACTCAATAGCCCTGGATCAACAGAGAATATAGAGTCAAACCCTAGATCACAATTTATTAACCTGAAACCAGGGGTCTCTTAAAACCTAATTTGATTGATTTCTCCAGTTCAATTTATAAAATATTACAAGCTCCATGGCCTAGATGTTCCCCTCGGGAATAGCTGACACACTACCTTAGTAAGCAAAATGAAGAGGACAAGTAAAAAGACATGTCTGTAAGACAGTAACGTGATGTGTGTCTATATTAAGAACACCTGTGCGTACCATGTATCTTGCCATTAACGAAGGGTTCACCTAACATAACCCTCGTTAATGGAGGAAATGGACAAAGGAAGGTCCTAGACTCTCTGCAGAAACCGCGTGCACCGTCCTTCAACCCACCCTTCACTGTCCCCTCTATCCTTCAATTTCCACCAAAACCCTCCACCTGTTTCGTATTATTTATTTACCACACGTATATATTCGGAATTTTAAGTTCAACAGGAACTCATTTAATAATCTTAATGGGAAAAATGTTATTTATTTTAAAAGATTTAAATTTACGTATAATTATATTTTTAGAATCATAATTGAAAAAATTATGAATAAAATTATTTTTTTAAAGACAACTACAATAAATATTTTATTTAACTTTTTAGGAGTCATCAAACTTCGTTCGTACATGTGTTTGTATGATTTATTACACCAAATCCAATATAAATACAACCTAACTCACCTTCTACACTTCTCTACTCAAACCAAGTAAGAAATCCAACATCAAGAAAATGAAGCTCTCCATTGCAACTTTGTTCCTTTCTCTCATTCTTCTGAGTTCCTTGGTTTTAGAACCTGCAATGGCACAGCCTCGATCGCGTAAGCAATTTACTTTTTTAGAGTTTTTTTTATCTGTCTTACATAAAATCATACGTATGTTCTTATCGTTAACTGTTTTGAATTAGGGTTTAATGTTTTGATATCTATATTGTTGGTATATTGCAGCATTTTGCGATGGAAAATGCAAGGGTCGGTGCAACAAAGCGGCGGTGTGGGATCGGTGCTTCAAATACTGCGGGATATGTTGCGAGGAATGCAAGTGTGTGCCGTCGGGAACTTATGGGAACAAACACGAGTGCCCTTGTTACAGGGACAAGGTGAACAAGAAGGGTACGCCTAAATGCCCTTGAAAATAATAAAAATTTGAATTCGAGTTCTGGTTTTACCTAGGGAGCTTAATGGAAGTTTGTAATAGTTTCTATTGGGAGACAAAACATGTTGATGTTATTATAATAATAAGGGTAAACTACACGTGTAGTACTTAAACTATCCATTTGTTTCGTTTTAGTACTTAAATTTTTATTTGTTTCAAAATCATACCTAATGTTTAATTTGTTTCATTTTAGTATCAATCGTTAAAAAACATTATGGGTAAAATATATCATTCATCACTTAATTATTTTTTACTCTTATTTTGATCACTAAAGTTTAAAACTTTTTAATTTAACTACTCAATTTTTAAATTGCTCATGTTTTAATCACTCTAATTTATTTTAATAATAAATTTTTTGACATAAGCTTTTTTATTATGTTATTGATATATAATCAAAATAAAAAGAATAATTTTAAAAGTTAAGAGTAATTAAATTAGGAGTAATTAAAAAATTAAAAAATTAAAAATTAAACTTAATGATCAAAATAGGAGTAAGAAGATAGTTGAGTGATAATTGATGTAATTTACTTATAAAAAAGTGTAATGTTCTAACAGTTCCACTAAAGATATTAAAGATACTAAAACGAAATAAAAGTAAATGTTAAATATGATTTTGAAATAAATGAAAGTTTATGTATTAAAACAAAATAAAATTAATAGTTTAGTTATTAAATGTGTAATTTACCCTAATAATAAACTTGTTTTGTTTGTTGTTCCTTTTTTTTTATTTGTTTTTGGATTTTATTGTTGAATAAAATTTAGCTTAGATTTCCACCGCCGCATCTGTCGTGTGCACCACCGTCTATCCATGTTGTTATTCGATTATGGTGGTGGATGGGTTGACAAAAATGCTTCAATGGGTATTAAAAAAAAATAACTGATATAGGGAGGAGAAAAATTATTTTCTCAAATAAGATAGTTTGAACAGTATTGTCGGAAGACGCCAGAAATAACTGGTGTCTTTGGGAACATAGCCATGGTGTCTTCATGTTCAGGCCGGCCCACCATGGTTAACTTCTTTCTCTCTCTCTGTAACAACCCGAAAATTTTAAAATAATATTTAATTGGGAATTGAGGTTTTAATTGAGTAATTGGTGAAAATTTGGGGACTAAATTGGAAGTTTTTAAAACTTGAAGCTTGTTTAAGAGTTAAAGAAAATTCAGGGACCAAGCCCTGAATTTACCCTAAAATGTTAGGTAAGGGCTGTTATATACGTGAATTGGTTTCTGATTTCAGAAACCAATTCTTCCCAAATTCCCTCTCCCAACCTCAACTTCCGACGACGATCCCGACGTCGTCCGAATTCCGATCGTCATTTAAAAACCACTATCGTGTTCATCATCGAGCGAGGAACAAACCCTTCATTTTAATTGAAGCGAAACGCTGCCAAACGCCGTGAATTTCAAGTCAAAGCATCGACTTGTAAGTATCTCCAAATCGTTGCTCCGTTTACGACACCTCCCGCACCATCGTGTTCCTTGTGCCGTTCCGAGTCCGCCAGTGTCATCCTCGACCTCCGTTGACGGCGGCGCTTGGGGAAGTGGATCAGTCAAAGATTCGGCCGAGTCAAAATCGAGCTCTCCGCCGTTCAAAAATTTGAACCGATCTTTGTAAGTATCTCGAAATCGCTCAAAATAATTTTTAGAAATTTTTCCGTGATTTTTAGAGCCCTGGAGGACGTCGCACGCGCCACACGCGCCGCCGCAGGCGAGTGAACGCTGGAAATCGGTTTTGACCGGTTTAACCGGTTTTGAACCGGTTTTGACCGGTTTGACCGGTCACGACCCGTTTACCCGACCCGACCAGTTTACCCGACCCGACCCGTTTACCCGACCGTTGACCCGACCCGTTGACCGTTGACCGTTGACCGGTGCTATTCTGGGAATTAATTCGGTTTTGGTGCTATTATGGGAATTAATTCGAAATGGGTGCTATTTTAGTAATTTTTCGAAAAAAAAATGATATTTTGGGAATTAATTCGAAAATGGTGCTATTTGTGTAAAATGTTTGACAGTTTGTTGACCTCATTTGACCAGAACTTTGACCGGCTTTGACCGGCTATTAAACGACCTTTGTTTTCGACCGAGAATACCTATCCTGATAGTTTTCGACGTCCCAAATCCGTTTTTGGGGTCCGTTTTGCTAAATTCAAACCCGAAAGTCTCCAAATTGTTAGTCAAAACCGTTTACTTTAATTTTGACCAAGAATTCGAATTTTCAGATGGTCATACTTTATGTTTTTCAACGTCCTGAATTTGATTCCGAAGTCCGTTTTGCCAAATTCTGACCCGAAATTCCCAAATCGAGCTTGTAAACCCAAAAGGCTTAATATTTTAATATTTAGATTATTTATATTAGGATTCCAATATGGATTTTTCCAATTCGTAGGATCTAGCGCTGCAGCAGAACGAGATTGACAAACCCAGTAATAAGCTTCCCTATCTGATTCCCAGACTGTTACAGGTGTGTTTCCTGACAGTGTTATTTTACTGTTTTAAACTATCATATAAATAGTTTATCTGATTTTGATCTGGATTCCGATATGATATATGACCTGAATTTTTATATGATACTTGACATGGACTCTGTTTTGATACTTGACCTGAATTATGTTTTAAATTTTGATATACATATATCCGTTATAAGCGGAATATGATTATTTTGGGGGAAATAATGTTGAAGGAAGTATACCTGGAGGTTCCTCTGCTGTGTGCTCAGGACCTTATTTACCGGCTCCTCTGCTGTGTGCTCAGGGCCTTACTGGACTTGTTGGTGGGTGTATGGTTCTGGGGAGCCTACACAATTTGGACTTGATGGATGGGGGTAGTATTCATATTTTAAATAAAAAAAATTATATATATATAAAACATGTTTGATAACTGATTTTACTGGAATATTATTCGTACGTTTTATACCCTGTTTGGAGCACACTGGGCTTTTTAGTTCATTTTGTAGTTTTAATTTTTTTTCAGATAGCAGCAGACCATAAGCTGGCAGATTTGGCATCAGGGGAGATCAACTACTTATTTTGTACGAACATATATTTCTATATGTTTTTCAGTTATGTTTGGTGACATGTATTTGCTATCGTTTTGGACATATCTTATTATTAATATAATGTATTGTAAAATTAAAAAAAAAACCTCTGAAAGGGATATGTGACCACTTAAGTTTGGGTCTAACTCACAGACCGGGTCTGGGGGGTTACATTTGGTGGTATCAGAGCCAGGTTTTAAACACTCGGACTGTATATGGGTCCTAAACTTTGAATTTATAAGAAAAAAAAGAACATGTCACCTTAGTTATGATTTAAAGTTTTCTCGAGATCCCTGATGCTAATCTGACATATGTTTCAAATTCTTTCTGTAGAGCCTTATAGATCCAACTATGAATGCTGCTAGAAGTCGTAGGACTGGACGTGGACGTGGACGTGGTAGAGGGCGAGTCGCTCGACTTTCCGTTACGATAGATGATCCGATGTCACCACGTGATCCTCCTGTTCAGCAAGTAGATACGACTCTTTCTCATGATGATCAGTTTACTCCTGTGAGAGACCCTCCCGTCACTGAAGATGAGGATTTTGAGATGAATGAAGACGCCATTAATAGAGCTATCTTCCGCATGTTTCAGAGAGCTGCTAGAGCCCCTAGTAACATGACTGCAGTGGAGATTTCAAATTCTCTGGTTGCTGCTGGTGTAGTTCCATTCGAGGGTATTACTGGTGGACCTCCGACAGATGCTGAGTATTGGCTGGAAGACACAGAGAGGATTATGGATGAGATGGACCTCAGACCTGAGCAGAAGTTGAAGGGGGCCCTAACTATGTTAAAGAAAGAAAGCTTTAGATGGTGGCAATACATTTCTGGTAGTATTCCAAGGAACCAATTAACATGGGATCTTTTCAAGACGCGTTTCCGGAGTCGCTATATTGGAGAGAGATATCTGCAGGAGCGACGCCAGGAGTTTCAGAATCTGGAGCAGGGTAATATGTCTGTTATGGACTACGAGGTTGAGTTCATCCGATTGAGTCGCTATGCCCCTGGACTTGTTGACATGGAGACAGATCGATGCTTGAGGTTCGAGAATGGACTCAGGTATGAGATCAGGAGTCGAGTCGCTACCCACCGAGAGAGGAATTTTGATGCTTTGGTTGAGATAGCCAAGACTGCTGAGGAAATAGAGCGACTGGGTATGGAGCACAAGAGAGATAGTGATCGAACTCAAACCCGATTCAGGAGGCCTTCTGGTTCTGTTAATTCTTCTGCACATCTTAGCAATAGAGGTAGGGGTGATTCCTTTCAGAGAGGCAGTACGAGTGTCAGACCCGTTGCATCTGGTGCTTCAACTTTTCAGTCTACTAGACATGGTGGATCTTCTAGGTTGCAACCTTTGAAGATATGTGATCACTGTGGAAAACATCATATTGGAGAATGCAGAATGAAATTGGGCACATGTTATAAGTGTGGTTCTGGAGACCATTTTTTGAGGGACTGTCCAGAGCGAGATCGTTCATTTCAGACACCAGCTCGTACTCCCGCTAGTTCTCATAGTACAGTTCAGACTCCAGCACGGGGACGTACTCAGGAGAGAGCACCTGGATCGGCTAATAGAGGCCGAGCATTTCAGAATAGGGGTCCAGTCAGATCTGAGGCCAGACAACCTACTTTGGTTTACACTGCTAGACTTCGACAAGATCGTGATGGGCCTAATGTGACTGCAGGTACTGTTACTATTCATTCAGTTCCATACTTTGCATTATTTGATAGTGGCTCTACAAATTCCTATGTATCACATTCCGTTTCTGAGGGTCTAAATATTCCTGTTGAGAATACTGAGCGTTCAGTGATAGTTCAAAGCACCTTAGGCAAATCCATCGTGTTGGATCGTATTTTTAGAGAGTGCCCTATAGAGATCAATGGGGAGATTTTTCTGGCTGACCTGATAGAGTTACCCTTTGAAGAGTTCGATTTGATTCTCGGCGTAGATTGGTTGGACAAACATCGAGTAAATATTGATTTTGAGACTAAGAGAGTTGTTCTGAAGACCCCGGATAATCGAAAGATTGTAATGATCGAGGAACGACG